ACGGAGGTGAAATTCGGTGATCTGAAAAGGAGTAAATGCAAGACCATCTGATGGACCACGGGAATTTAAACCATATGATGCAGGGTATGGATATGGGGATAATTTGGTCCAGGGTGAAATTCAGCAGGCATTAGCAGGGACCAGTGGCGGTACGGACAAGGTTCTACCCGCTGTCTCGCTTCTTCCCTGCATTGATTTCGAAAAGAAGTAGGGGTATTTTGGTAAGTTCGAAACTGGCCTCGGAATCTCCGCTTGGGTTAAAGGGAGTATAGAGCTGGGTAGGTTGAGGAAGCCCAAAATAGTTTGCTTTGCTTAATGTTTAGCCCAGCAGTGGGAAAGAGCCATGGCCCATAAACTGGGGGTGAAAGTGTCGAGCCGTAGAGGATTCAATTGCAAAAATAAAAAGGCCCAAATCTGAAGCCATGCTTTTTTGTACTATTGACTATTTGACTTCCCCTGGTTTAGGCCTTTTGTGGGCCTCAACCCCATTTGAAACATGAGAAGTGAAAGACAAGAGGCAGCTCCTAAGAAGTTGAAGGCTTGAAGCTATTTTTCCTACTTCACCAACTCTCTTGTATTCCAATTCTAGGTTTTAGAACAAAAGAATCAATAGTGCCTCTTTGACTCTTACATCCGTGGCTTACTCATTGTTTGGCAATATTTTTTGATACTTTATTTTTTTGGTTTTTATATTTTTTTATTATTTAAAAAATATATAAAACATTAATTAAAAGAAATATTAAATATATTATATATATATTTTTTAATGTTAAAGAACAAGAAAACTTATAATTACAATTACATACTAGTATTGTTAAACTAGGCTTTAGTCACGATATATAATGCAAAAAATTAAAGGTACAAAGTTAAAGTTAAAGTCTTAATGATATATAAGCAGAGTCGGTGAAGGAAAAAAAATCTCCTTTTATATCAACATGTGGGTATAAAAGAGAAGGTAACTATAGGTATAGGGGCATTTTATCCCAAAAAAAAAAAAAGAAGCCAAAGGAACAAATTAAAGACCTCTCATACCTTTATAGTGTAAAGTTTAGAAAAAGAAAGAGTTTATAAGTTGTTTTCTACTCCCTTTTTTTCTTCTTCTTCTTTTTTTTTCGGTGATTTATCACATGAACTTGTTTATGTCCTTTAGTTTATTGAAATCATAATGACGTTAGAAATAGCTAGTTTGAATTTTAAAATATACATACGAAAAGAAATTTAAGAGAAGAGGGAGTTATTTATTTATTGTTGAATGAATCAGTTATTGCATATTTCACTTTAAATACTTATAAACAAGAATCAACTTATAAATTAAGTTTAGCAATTAAGTTTTAAGACTAATGTTCAAGGAAATTTAGTTTCTTTAAATACACCAAGCTAATATGGGAGGCGTACTCTTAAATTGCTCGAGAGAAAATTAATTTCAAAGTAGGCAAACATTGACCCATAGCATTCTAACTGTTAAAACAAATTAAAAATGTTGATATTGATATTGATATGATGTTTATGATTAACAACTACTTATTGCAAATTGTGAATTAATTGGGTATTTTCCAATTTTGTATTGTATAATGAGAGACAACAAGCAACTCTCTTTCATTCATTAACTCACATTACTTCTATACTATATGTCTTGAATTCAACATTTTTTACTTTTACTTAAAAGAACTTCATATTTTTTTTCATTAGCTTCATATTTTTTTTCATTAGAAAATTCTTTTCACATCTTCTGCGGTTCATATACCAACATCATTCTTGTTGTTATATATTAACATTATATTAATTCCTTGAATTCAATTATTAACATGGTTCTGATTCAAAATTTATTTATTCTTCATGTTCCTAAATTGATTTATTAATACCATATAAAACGGTGAAAATCTTTTTGATCAATGGACAGAATCATTCTGA